CCCCCCCCATACCCCCCCCTCCCCAAAAGTTTCTCAGCTACTCAGCAAGCACAGTACAGCTGCCAACTCAGCGGATGGCTGTTTTCTGGTCGGCAGACCGCTGACCGGTCAGCCCTACTCGCCGGCTGCAAAACGGTCGGCGGTCGGGGTCGGGGTCGGCAGTCGCTAGGTATGCAACCCTGCCCAATAGTATTTTTTACCATGGTAAAAACTGATGAGAAAACTAATGAAAGGTTCAACGTATTTGCGTGGACGAGAAATCTAATAAAAATTTCATTCCATCTTCAAAAGACCTCCACAGTTAAAAATATTAGCAAAACGAGCTGAAAACAGTGAAAAGACATCTTTTCTAACAATTGGTTTACCACACTTCCCGAAATGAACAGCTAACATATCAAGGGGGCTCGGGAAAAACAAACCCTAAACCAAAAAAGCTAACTTCTAGTACACACCCATTAAGCAAGGGTACACAACCCTACATGTTGGTCAATGAGTTAAGAGTTGAGTTGAGAGTTCACCCCCCTACAAATCATGCTGACTACATCACTGGTTGCCCCTATTTTGTGCCCTGGCCCCCGTTCTCCCTTCTTCCCCCTTCTTCCCACCTTTCCCCCACCGCAACAACAAAGAAGAAAAGAAAAATCGTACCTCTAGGTCAGCTGTCACGGTAGACCATCCCCTTTTTTGTCGCTCTGGAACATCTTCTCCTGATCTGATCGTGTTCATTCTTTGGCCGCTGATTTCTGATTCAACATGTTGCCTTTCCTCTCTTCCCGTGTCTACACAGTCCCACGCTACGGTTCCAATGTCCCATGTTTCACTTGCTGGAGGCTGGATCGAGTGCCCCTCCACCTGCCCCTCCATCTGCCCCTTCACGTCCCCCTGCATCTTCCCCTTTATCTGCCCCTCCTCTCCCTGAGTCTGTCCTTGTCGCTTTGATACGTGGATTCCCTTCAGCTGGATGGGTGCCTGCGCCTCTCGAGTATCTGATTGACGATCACGGACACTCCGACTTTGGTTTCTCACGCTTGCAACTCTAGCCTCCTTCCCTCTGACGCCACCCTGCGCTGTACTACCAGCACGGTTCACGTGCGACTGGTTTGCTCTTGCTGCTTCTCCCGCATCCCTGACCGTTCTTTCCGTCTCTGTGGTCGATCGTGCACTTAACACTCCGTTTGATCTTGTTCCTTTCACACTACCTCCCCCTCCTCCTCCTCCTCGGACTCCAGCAAGACTCATCTTTATCCATCCTTCTCTCCTCGCATAGTGCTGTGAAGACTGACCAGCAGCCTGATAATGGACTGGTGGTAAACCCTCTCTCCTCTGATGATACTTCGCTGCATTTTGTGTTTCTCTCTCCCTGACAGATTGAGCTGAAGCTACCACTTTCCTTGGATTCTCAACAGGAGTGTGGTCTCCATTAGCCCTCACCGCCGTCACAGGCACAGACCCGCTGCAGGTGGCAATAGCCCCCGTCGATGTCCCGGGCACGTTCCCGTTCCCACTCTCCCCTGCAGTGGCCATCCGCTGCAGCATCTCACCGATTGCAACGAGCTTTTGGCGTCTACCCTCTGTAGAAAGGCTGTCCATCTGCTCAGCCGTTATCCCACCATTCATCCATCTTTGGAAAAGTGTGGCTTCGTCTTCGTGTCTGTCCTCGCCCAATTGATCTTTTGACTGATTTGCAGCACCTGACCTTGACCAGGTTGATTGTAAGAGAACCAAGAATAAAGATCTCAGCTTTATTGCTTTAATGGTCTGTACCTGCGGCAGTTTCTAGTCACATTCATTCCTGTTGCGAGTCTGCTCCATTGTGTGTTCACAATTTTGGCTGGCTGCTTCATTTCCAGCTCGCAGTCAAATGGGGGGAACTTGCAAGACTTTCCTCCGTCTTTCAACTTTATTATTTATTCCTTTTAATTCTTCAACGTTGACCATTTTTCACAACATGGATTTTTTCAGCAGAAGACCTCCGTATCCACGATAGCGGACCCGACAGAAACAAAAAAGAAACAACGGATAATTTGCAAAATACCCTCATAAGTTGAGATATATGCAAAAATGCCCCTGAAAGATGTGGGTAGAGCGGAATGCCCTTTTGGGGCGCAATCTTTGTGTCGTGCCCCTGTCAGGCGGGTGTGAAACTTTGCAATCTGGACCTCCCCGTTTGGGCGTTGGCCTTTTGCAATAGCACCTAGGAGAAGTTGGCAAGTACTGGGGCATTTTGCAAAGTTGGGCAGTACCCGGTAGGGGTATATTGCAAAGATGGTAGTCCAACCGACGTCAGGGGTAAATATTGTTTTTGTCAGAGGGGCATTCCGCTCCACGCACATCTTTTAGGGGCATTTTGGCATATTTCTCAACTTATGGGGGTATTTTGCAAATTATCCCAAGAAACAAAAAAAAACAAAAAAAACAAAAACAAAAATTGAAAACAAACAAACAAACATTTTTTTGCCTTAGTTATAGTGTTTGCACAGATTCGTTTCCATTTGGAACCTTCTTGTTCTTTCTCACCGTGTGACAGATGCTCACTATAGAGTGTTGGGAAGTCCAGTCCCGTAAGGTTCATCACGTTGTGACAGATGTGTCCGCTATAGAGTGTTGGGAAGACCAGTCACGTAAGGTTCATCAATCCTGGAAGTCAGGAACTGATATTGCGAGCCAAAGGGCGTACTTGCACTACTACTAGGAGCTTTGCAACTGAGCCTGGCCCATTTGTTCTCCAACGACAATGCAAACGGCAAGAGGGAGGGAGGGAGAAGCGAAGGAAGGAAAGAGGGGTTAAACCAGAAAGGAATCAACGAACAAAGGGGTAAACCAAAAAGGAAGGAAGGAAAGAATGAGGACGGATGTTCAGGAAGGGAGGGAGGGAAAGGGAGAAGGGAAGGAAGGAGGGAAGAGAACCAAAAAGGAGGTTGCCAAAGCCTTATGGTAGGTCAATAAGGATATATATGCATGACAGACTGATGAACATGGACACAAGAACTAAGTTCAATTAACTTCAAAAACGGGCAGACAGGTACGGCTTCCCCGACGCTGTGTTTCAACTGCTGCTAAGCAGTCGTCATCAGGGGAAACTGCCGACTTCACCCGACAAACGGAACCAATCTTCCACTAACCCACCTCCACCTCGGTTTGTCCTCGGCATTCCGGAACACCCGGACTCATGAAGCGTTGGACCTGGAACAGGATGAGGAAAATTCATAGTGAGCTGTTTGTGCATCCTCCCGAGAAAACTGCGCACTGTACTAAGTCACTACTAACTCAGATGAGGAAAATTTGTAGAAACTACAACGCCGCTAAGTCAAGCAGGCACATATCACCCGGTCATAAAAGAAAGTACTCATTCCTGGTCCCGCTTCACAATGCGCATATCACCCGGTCACAAAAGAAAGTACTTGTTCATGGTCCCGCTTCACAAAACTACTTGTTCCTGCTCCCGTTTAAGTGGTACTCCGTTACCTAACATCTGCCGAAGCCTCGGCTCTCTCAAGGTCCAAGGGGTCTCGACAGGGCGTGCATACATGTATCAAGACTCAAAAGCAGAACCAGATAAAATCCGCCTAGTACCACACGGCGCTACCGTCTTCCCCCAAATTACAGCGCACAGTCATTATCCCTGTATCTAGACTGAAAGTAGCCCAAAATATGTCTATAATGACCGTATGTACTATTCAGGGGAAGACGGTAGCTCAAACCTGATTGGTTGGAAGACTGGAAGAGAGTAGACGCCAGGTCTAGGTGGCTGGTTTAAACCTGGCAAACTACAGATAGGACAGGGGCCGATTGGGCGAGGCATCGACAGTGAATCAAACAAAGCACAACACATCTGGGAGCCAGGTCGCTGGGTCAAATCCGACAAATTCTACGCGCTATTTTTGAAAACATAACACGCCAAATCAAACAGCAATATGCTGGTTCCAATCCATCTTCACCCGAATAGAGCACCTATTCATGGGGCACCATAGCCAGCTGCCCACACACCTACCTTACGGCACACCAGCATGCATGTGTGTGCCCGTGTGTGTGGGCATGCAAGCATAACTAATAAAGGATGCGCAGGAGCTCGTACCTGACCCAAACAACCAAATCAAATCTAAGACTTGTGATGACCTAATAAGGGATATAGATCGTACAATCCTTATAAGGGATAAAGATCACACATACCTAGTACCTACCAAAGGGGCACTATACACCATACACTAATATTTAGCAATATATATCATACGATTCATACCTCATACTAGAACATATCTTACTGACCATGTTAACTCGTAAAGCAGTTCTGCAAAACTAAAGCCAGCACTTACGTACCCCTCAAATTCTGTGAACACCGAGCAACCAACCTGCCCACCTGTTTGAACTTAAAGCAAAAGAGATTAAAGCTAAGCAAAAAGTAAAAGCATGCCAAAATGAACACAGTATGCAGCCAGCAAACAACAACTCGAGAGGTGTCCAGGGGGGGGAGGCGGGGGGGGG